TGTATTATTTAAATGTGTATTAATATGATTTAGTTATTTATCCGATTATAGGCGACCTGCTTGAGTATCTGGGCTACCTGTTCCTGCCATCTAGATATTTCAACAAGTTATCTATTTTTGTTTTTTTTTAATATATCATTATGTCTATTAATCGCATAACCCATCCTGATGCATTTCCGAAAAGTGTACAACCTTTCGTTGTCAAAGTTACAAAAAGCCCGATAAGAGATAATGTGGTCGCTGGCAATATGCAGCATAAAGAATGTACATTATTCAGATGTTCGTTTACTGGACTGCTAGCATATAACTGGCGATCACTCAATATTTATCGTCAGGATCGACCAAGAAGTAAGAAACGGAAACTTGTTGAAATACTTTGTGCTGAGAATTCTATATTGTACCAAAAATATAATATTGAATAAAGCCTATAATAATAATAATAATAATAATAATAATAATAATAACTAGCTAAGCCTAAGTTGTGGAAAGTCAAGAGTACAATTTCTCCATATCTAGATACTATAAATCCCATAAATATCTTATTGTTCATCATTAATTCGTTAGTAATAGTTATCCCTATTGAATAAAATGATTCAATAGTTTAAACTAGATTTTCTCGATTACTTTATATACACAAAGTCTAAAGAAAACATGAAAGAAATAACTTCGTGCAAGTCTAATGAAACTAATTGAACGAATTAGTTTGCTTTTCTTTCACCTATATCATAGATCAAAGTTTTCGATATCATAGAGCAGTTAAAAATGGAATAGTTTATTCATCATATTGAATATTTAACATTTACCTGAAGTCATAATATCATGATAATATCATAATAATCATGAGAAAATGAATAATTTTCGAGAAAGATGGAACTTAAAATTATATTTAGGAACAATATATGTATATAGTTGGTAAAATATTTCAAGAAATATCACATAATGTTTCCAAACAAACAAACTTTATAAACAAATACATCCATCTGACGAGTTCAAAGTAGAACGAAACTCTTGTCCTGGATATCGCTGCTGGATACTACTATTCATTTTTGCTTATCATGTTTGTGAATTAAGACAATATCGAGACAATACACACAGTATGCACATATGGCAATAAGAGACTGGTCAATTGCAGTCCTAATCATCAATGGGAAGATTCAAGTAAACAATATAAAGTGAATTTAAACTTCACCTCTTTGTACAAGCAAGTGGCTATCGGGACTCAGTAGCTAAGTGGGTGACGTGATGGCGTTTGAAACGGACAGTACTAGGTTCCAGTTGTGGAGAGAACATCAACTCTGTGATTCAGGCACATCCAGCTGATGTGTCCAAGATAATACGAAACTTGAGTCCTGGATTCCACTGTTAGCTACTAACCATCTTTGTTGTATAAACAAGTATGTAAAAATCCATTCGTGTGATTCATAGTTAATCGAGTAGGCATGCATGTGAATTAGTTTACGGTGATGTTTGAAAACTAATAAAAATGATGAGAATAAAGAGAGATAAGTTAAATTTATTTATTTGTAAAGTAAGGAAAATAGATACATTCAAATATGTATAAAACCATATATGATAGAAAATATCTGATGAATCATTTATTTAAATGATAAGTTGATGAAATCTATGACCCGCGTTTTGTCATATTTGGGACTCGTTAACTTTATGTATCATTATCCCAGTGATGATATTCATATGGGACTCGAACACCCTATCCTTCACGTCAAACGTTCAAAGTGTTATCAACTGAGTTACTAACTTAAGAATGTCAAAGGATATTATGTTTGTATCAATGCAGATTACCTCGATATAGTCATCCTCACGAGTTGTGCATATGGCTAAGTCAGCCAACATTATCAATTATCGGATAATTCAAATCGTGTCTAATGACGGTGTAGATAAATTAATGGTGAAATTAAGAAAATAACTTGGATTACTTAAATATCAGTTGGTTAGATAATCTATCATAAGAACTGAATTAAAGATTTCTCATGATAAAAGAGATTTTTAATTACGAAATGTTGTTAACTGTAGAATTATTGTAAGTTATGAAACACCCAGTTCATTCCAATACGTTACTCCATAACATTACAAAACCACAACTGTATACAGGATGGGAAATAATGATATTTAAGTCATATGACTACGGTGATGTTCTTTGCTCATAGAGTTTTCACAATGACCCATAAAGTAAAAAATACTTTCTACTCTCTTTCACTAATGGATGGTTATATAGTGAAATACTATTTATTTGTTATTTAAATACTACTGACGGTTCAGTTGTTTAACTAAAAATTATTTGATTGTTGATTAACATCATTAGATGCCGGCTCAGTGGTCTAGGGTTTAAGCATTCGCTCACGATACTGATAAGTCTTGGTTTCGAATTTCGCGAGGCGGAATCGTGGATGCGCACTTCTGAAGAGTCCCATACTAGGACGAAACGGCATTCCAGTGCTTCCAGGTTTTCCATGGTGGTCTAGCTTCAATTGATTCATGAATTGAACAATTAAATTACTATGATATCCACAAAACCCCTCTTTAATCACGTTTTATATGTTGTAGAAAATAATTTTTGTCCATCATATTAATCGATAAATTTATTTACTTTCACACTAGGATTACACATATATTAATTCATTCTATATGGTATTGTTTGAATACCTCAGTTTCTATAATCTATCCATTTTCTGAAAACGCGCTGTAGTGGCTGTTACAATGTCAAGCCCACATAGGTTATTCTAGTCTTTGGATAGATCAATCTATTCATTCATTTCAAGTCACATTTTTACCCTGTCACCTATCCGTTTATTAATCCTGACTTTTTTATATGATCATTGTTTGCTAATTATTTACTTTACCCACATTGTGTTCAAAACTTATTTTTAGTCTTGACTATAAATATCGACTCACGCTTGGTTAAATTGAGTTGGTTCACATGCCTTCTCCACTGCGCATCATTTTATTTTGCTTCACTCTACGACCAGCGATCGTACGAAATATACGTATTCAAAAATCCATTCTCGCATTTGACTTGGTGATGAAACTAGAAATGACGAATTGAAAAATTGAAACCAGATATGTCAATGGAATCCAGGTGACCGTTGATTTTTTATTTCCAAGTGGTACTAGTCAACATAGCCTAATTTCAAACATGATGTGAGTGATGCTTACTCAAGTGTTTATAGATTGTGATGGAAAATATTTGTACTAAAATCAGATTAAATTTTCGTTGCTTTCTAATGAATAAGATTAATATGTACAAATTAATGACATTCATAAATATCATTTAAATTGGTGAATTATTACGTTCTTCTAAAAATCCCTTTGTGATATTGTGTCCGCTATTATGTGATCCATTAAATATAGATATGATCTTATATTTATGTTGACTTATATAATGCAGTATCTTTGTTTTAATAACCATAATCCTGGCAAGAGACATTTAATGACGAAGAATCAAATTCCACAAAAAAGATCACAGTGCGTTACGAATAGAGATTATAAATAAACATAATTATTCGAAAAGATATTCTGTACAGTTTCATCCCATTTGTAAACAATCTGTTTATATGAAAATCGTGGATTATTTGAAGTCAGACATTATCGCCACTAGATACTAGCACAGTGGTCTAGAGATTATGCGGTCGCACGAGAAACCGAAGACCTTGTATTCGAGTCCCTCATGTAGGATTGTGCATGCGCATTGCTGAAGAGTCCCACAATAGGACAAAACGACCGTCCAGTGCTTCTAAGTTCCTAATGGTCGTTTAACATTGATTGCTTTATGATCTCAGTTAAAAAATCTGTTGAATTTTGTTATTATAGCTAACACTTGTTGTTTTATTAAAGTGTAGTGACTAGTCAAGTACATCTCAGTATGGTTATATATTTTCAATAAATATTGGTATGGATTCATTGTATAGGCTAAAAAGGCAAATAAAACATAATGAGATTTTGACTTTGATGTTTTCAAGAACTCAAAATGAACTTGAGTAATGAGTTTCCAGGTTTACATTATTATTTAGATACTATTGTTAATCTGTTGAATGTATTGTGAACGTTTGTACGTCTTCAATCTAAGCTGAAATGTTTATTGATCAGCATAAATCGAAGTGAAATGGTTCAAAATATAATTAACCTGAAGTCAATAATTATACATTTGTTATAATTCAGCTTTTGTTAGCTTCAACCTCACTTATTTATGAAAGTATTCACTATTGGAAAATAATGAAATTTAAATCGAAACAGTCGTCGAACAACTTAAAATCTATTCACGATTGTCTTCCATCGCATTACTTCGTAACTAAAGATTACATTCACTAATCTACACCATTACATGATCATAGCGAAAACTTGTAAATTTTGAGCTGTGTATCAGTTCATTAGACAACCAATCAAAACCAGAAGGTACTGAACAGCTATTATATTACGGAATGTTGTGTTTAGAAACATGACACAGAGGAAACCAACTCATTGATGTAAATATTTATGTCCTTTCTGCTTTACATAAAGTCCTGAATTTATTCTTAAATAGATCCAACTTATTCTCCGTTAATGAGATCCAAACCAGAACGAAACATATATCCTATACTTCCTGCTTTACAACAGTCATCTAAAAACCATAGTTCAACCAACCTTCACAGAATTTTTCTACTAATACTTCATAAATTGTTTGTTTCTATGTTTCTAATACCATAAAACGTTATCCACCAAAAGGCTACACACCTTAGTTGTCAATGCAATCGTCTTTTTAAAAAAAAATGATTAGTAACAATGTTTCGATTATATCATTAATCGTATTATTTGTCAAAAGATACCTATTTGTAAAATTGTTTTACAAACAATGAAATTCATTATGTAAAAATAAATAATGGTGAAACAACAATTCAAACATGTATGAATTCATTAAAATCATCAACATGATCATTTCATAAAGTTAGTTAAATCAGTAAATACGTTCTGACACTTTGTTACGATATGAAATTTGATTGTTGCATCAATTAAATACTAATAAATATATACCAAATAGAGTAAATTATTAATCCCATAACAATAAATGGTTTTAATTGTTTTGAATTATTACAATGATCAGTTGTACAACATGATAAAAGATCTTGAATAGGGAATTTAGTTGCAATATCTGAACAGTTAGTAACACATTGTCGTTTTACATAAATTTTTGGCACACCAGTTTTCTGAAATCAAAATGTTTAAGAAAGAAAAAGAATTAGAAAAATGATAATTTAATTTTAAAACATAAATTCACATGACTTGAATCGCTAAAGAGAATTCTCATCATCTTAAAAACATAATTAATATGAATGAAGAATATTCTTTTCAATAATTTCGCATCAGGTTCTATAATTATCTCATATCCAAATTAATAATGCATAAAAATCATTCACCTGAGCTACAAATTTTCTCCACCATCTCAGAATCATATGAGCGTAGTACACTTCTCGTTGTTCGAAAATAGGAGGATTTCGCGAAAAGGCAAGATTTCACTCGAGAAAAACTGTATTTTCTCCACGAGTGTTTTCGTCAACATATTCTACCAACAAGTGTAAGCTACAGACCTGCAATCAACTATCCATTGGATGGAGAAAAGCTGAGTAAAGTGGAAGAATAATAGTATTCTTAGTGATTACGGATGCACATTACAGGATTCGTAAATACCAACATGTCATAGAGGACCAAAAGATGAAGCTACAAAGGACACGATTAAACCATCCAGCTCAGAGAACAAAACTCCATCAAAATCATCCACCTGAGCTACAAATCTCCACCACCCATAAAATTGGCCACATTTAAGGCAGAGTACATCGTTTAAAATTGTAACAAGTGAATCAAGAGTTTTTCACTAGTTGAAATCATGAGTCAATTGAAGCTAGATCACCATGGAAAACCTGGAAGCACTGGACTGATAGGTCCTGGGTTCGAATCTCGCGTGTGCGGGAGCGTGGATGAGCACTGCTGAGGAGTTCCATACTAGGATGAAACGGCTATCCAGTGCTTTCAGGTTTTCCATGATGGTCTAGATTCAATTGACTTATGATTTCAACTAGTGAAATTTCTAAAATCCTCACAAAACCCCTTCAGAATCAAGAATTGTTGTTTGTCATATCAAATCAAATCAAATCGTTAATGTTGGGGTTGACTAATCTGAAGTGTTCACTTGGATCAGTTTATAAGTGAAATGAAATTGTAAGATAAATAATGATCAGAATAAATACGGTCAACATGGAGTTTGAGAGAAAGAGAATAGTGGAATAAAAATCATCAGTTACGTAATATGTAGAATAACATGAATTGGGTCAGCTATAATAAATAGGGGTGGATGCTGAATAAATTTCTCAAAAAGGTTGTCAAGTCCAATAATAATAATAATAATGAAGATGATAATGGAACATAAAAATGAACGTTAATCACACAACGTCACCATATTATAAAATTGATTATTGACTAGTTGGCCCCGAAGTTGCCCAGGGTAAAAAGGAGCGGTTGAACATATTTTAAATGATATACTCTGCCTTAAATCTGGCCAATTTGATGGATTATTAATTTGGATATGATAATTGTAGAACGTGATCGGAAGTTATTGAAAACAATATTCTTCGTGCATATAATTGTGTTTTAACATGACTCTGTCAGTAAATATATGTCTATTCAATGATCATTAATATTGATAATTCAGATAGTGTTTTATTAAGTAATAAGTTTATAATACATATCAATTGATGATTTCTCAAGTTTCAATAATCTGTATATAGGTATGTACCTAGACATTGGTGATTAATAAGGAGTACATTATCAGGTATATGAAAGCCTTGACCATTAGATAGTTTAAATTTCACTTAGGTAGTCAAAAGATAAGTAGCTTTTCATTTTGAATCCATCATGATAATCACAAGTCTACTTTAAAACATGTTGTGATGTGACAAATTTGTTATTCTTCTCATTTCACATAATACATCTCTTTTATTCAGTGTACATTATATATATATATATATATATAGCTTTGTCATCTGTTCAATTATCAGTTCTTGTTTGTTTGAACTTTCTTGTAGCTGATATTTTTTCAAAAGTCATATCAACTAACTTAACTAACAAACATGTTTGAATTGTATTGTTCAAGTACATTATATTTCACAGATCAGTTTTAGCTTCTCATTACATTTTCGTAATTTATAATACAGACTCATCATTTTATTTGTAATAGCTTTATACAACATTTATGACTGTTTCAAAATGGTTTTTATCTCCATAAAGATTTGAACGCATGGTTTATTTGTAAAAGAGCGTCACAATCATTCATAATAAAGGTTACATCTCATGTTTTACTAATCAGTCCTATGAATGAATTCAACGTTAGAAGTTATTTAGTTTAAAGGAAATCTTATGTTTTGGTAAATTGATTTTTTAAAATAGTTGAATTGATGAGTTGATCTAAGCTAGATCACTATCAAAAACCTGAAAGTACTAGACGGCCGTTTCGCCTCCGTATGGGACTCTTCAGCAGTGCGCATCCACGATCCCGCATGAGTGTAGGAGGTTCGGATTTTAGTAGATCAACCTTATTGATCAGTGTGTAAGATAAGTGAAAAAACCGGAAATTTCATACATACTACTTGACTTACAACACATCCTCCGCAGTCAGATTGAGTTGGAGTATTTCCATCTACGTTCACACAATTTTCGCATACGTAACAGGTGATAGAATAAACTAAACATCAATTACAAAAAAGGGTAATGTTATGTTTGAAGCAAATTACAAAATGCATAATACTAAGTTCAAAAATTAATTTTGTGATTGTAATCATCTCATATTTTATCATGGTTGATAATAACATGCATAACAGATAGGAAATTTATAAATTACAAGACTTGGGGATATAATGGAACTTAATTTATTTCGTTTAATTTCTATGGATCATGTTTGAGTCAATACAGTTATAGACGTAATAATGAAATATATTGAAGAATTGGAATGATTAGATCATTGAAAATAAAAATTGAAATACGTGTACAAACAGTAATTACACAATTACTATTAACATTCATCTTCAAACTATATCGACAAGGCTAAATAATACCATCTGTAAATAAAGCATAAATGCTGACTTACTTTAAAGTATATGCTTGTGATGTTATTGCTAGAGAAAATAATTAAAGCTTTACTGATACATCACCCAACTAGAATAGAATAAAATCATTAGAATTCTTATCTTAAACTATGATTCTGTCTGCCTAATGATTAGAAATTGATTTGCTTAACTGTTATATAATAAGAAATCATTAAATTCTCAAATGTCGACCTCAAAATAAGTACATTATTCTACATTCATTACCGTTTATAAATAAACTATTGTTAAACACTAAGTGTAGTTATAAATATTTATCATGAAATGATACATCCTCTTATTTAATTATTATCTTAAATTGTCCTAAATTATACTTTCTTTATTCATTTAATGACATGATCTCATCAACACTGGGTTTTTTTAAATAAAAAAAAGATAAACACTTAGTTACCATTCATTTCTCTTTTAATTTAATTCAATTACAATGGTACATATAACATTAAATCATCAAAACTAAATTTGATATTTATGCCTGAAGATATTATTAATATTATCATAAAGATTTTCAGTACTAAACATTCAGTTGGGTGATTTTTTTTAAAATGTTGATTCAATATGAAAACAGTTTACTTCAAAGACTAACACAAGCTAGAATATCACTGAAATTCAAAGAGAACAGATCACCTAGTTCGTTCTTATTTGAAGTTATCTGATAATAACTATTCATAAATTTACCACGGGTAGAATCTGTTGACTTAACATCTAACTGTGAACATGATACCTTTAATAACTTAGATCTTGGATATTATTTGACTAGTGATGAAGCCTGAACAAAATCTAATACTACCAATCAGCTACTCTTTCATATTCAATACGATTAGATTCAGAGTGGAAATTTGAATAGTCTTATTTTAATTCATGGATTCAATTGAAGCATGCGCACCGTGAAACTTGAAATTTTTAGTCACTGATTCATGTATCATTAGCAGCAATCTACTGCAGGAGAGAACAAACCAGTTTCCAGTTGAAGAGGAAATCAGGAAAAGATGCTGCCAGTGAATAGAACATACACTGCGGAAATCAACAAACTACATCACGAGGTAAGCCGTAACTTGGAATCCTGAACGGGAAATGAAAAGTGGAAGACCAAGAAACACACTGAGTTAAGAACAGGAAGTAGATATCAAAGAATAAATAGCAACTGACAACAACTGGAAAGGATTTCTCAGGACAGGATTCGATAGAGAATCCCAAAGGATGGTGTCCAAAATCTGATACACTGATACACTACGTGCTATGCGCTAACCTCCAAATGACTACTTGAGTGGTCCATTGAATAAAATAAGCGAATGATCATTTATATTTATGTATAAAACTCTACACCTCAGAGAATCGATCCATTTCTTAGCTAGTGAAATGCACTTCTTGTTCGGGTCACTTCCGATTGCCATCGATTGACCTTGACTACGTATTCCTTAATTACTCTCAGTTACAGTTTGATACATTAACTTGTACATTGTAGAAATTTAAATTTTTCATTAAATATTTACACATGAATAAAAGTGGACTGAACTAACGGATCTCAAATAAGATAATATAGTTGTCCTATATTCTCAGAATGAGGGTTTGTAGGAATTAAAGTAATTTAATGCTTGAATTCATGAGTCGATTAGGATAGACCATCATGGAAAACCTGGAGGCACTGGATGGCTTTTTCGTTCTAGTGTGGAACTCCTCAGCAGTGCACATCCACGATCAAACATGCAGAACTCGAACCCAGGACGTTTGGTCTCTCTCGCGATCGCTTAGCCTCTAGACCATTGAGCTGGCATCTAATCGTATTAACTTCAACCAATCCACGATATTGCACAACCGTCCACCATTGTTTTCAATAACAGACACGGTTTAACTATACTGGTCACATCTACTCACTAAAACTTCAAGAAACACATCCTAAAGATAGTCACTAGTGAGGGTTTGTGGAAATTGTATTCTGTTATTATCTATTATTCAAAGTAGAACTCAGTATTAAACATATCTATATATTTTCAATCATCAAGTGTACTACCATTTGTATAACATTAATTTGTTATAATTAAAATAACCCATAATGTCATTGAATAAGAAAAAGGCTTGGTTCTTAAAAGGGGAATGCAAAAAAATTACTAGTTCGATACAGGAGCATTTAATTAACTGTGGGCACATCGCCCTAAACGACTGTTCTTTTAAAGTAATCTTCAGAGTCAATGGAACTGGATCGAATCAATATTTTATGCACTGCTGGAGCATTAGTAATCCATGGACTCAAGCCTGAACTTTACGTGCAGGAACGATTTGTCCAACTGCTCATCATTCCTTGCCCTAATTCCTTTAGTGCGTATGTTTCTGGGTTGATTTTTTTCTGCACTTTTATTTGATTATTATTGAATTTTTTAAACTACTGTTTTGCATTTTAATTTCTAGTCCGTTATTATTACCTTATGCAAGTTTAGTTGATTATTATTCAGTCTATTATTATGACCTTTGTGTTTGTCGCTTTTCTTCATGTCTGTCAGTTGGACTACTATTTGAACCATAAATTATTACCCTTCTCACCTCTTGATTAGTACGTAACCTCATTTGTTATTTATTCTCGAATTCATTTTGTGATGCAATCTTTTCTGTCCTCCTATAGACATACATTTTCCATATAACTGTATATACAAATGTACAGCTGTTGGGGACGTTAGATCCCCAGAACTCATTTAGGAAAGGACCTAATTTTGTAATTTATTTAGAAAATTTGAATTTCTTTGTTTTCGCGCCAAAGGCGCACTTGTCACCTTCATGTCGTATTTCCCACTGGGAAATATATTAAATGTTATTGGTCCGTTGCGTCTTTTAGTATGCTATTTTGGTGACTTTCCCCAAGGACGGTTTCGCACTGTATATGTACGTTTTGAATTGTGTTTGTTGTTATCGCTCGTTTCTGTCTGTTTTGCAGAATATACTTCCCATTCCAAGCTTGGACTTCTCCCTCTAATTACCGGAGCTGTGATGCATCAATAGCTAGCTTACTGGTCTTTGGTCACCGAGTCTTGTTCTCGTCCGCAGATTAAGTGAACTCGTGATAGTTTTAAACCTAGCAACAGCTTGAGTAAGTGATTTCGTCGAAAAGAAACTTTTCTTCACTGAATTCTCATTTTCTTATTAATTCCTATTCAATTTTATATTTAACTTATTCTATTACACAAGTAATAATTATGTAAATGAAATAAAAGAAACATTCTGAATTACAGTCATTACATAATATATAACTATGAATTATAGTATAATTACTTATCAATAAGAAACATATGAAAGATCAAGTATAACGTACCATTTCTCATTGTTAAGCATAAAACTAATAGAAATATACTAAACTGTAATGATATAATGTTAGAATACATCATCACTTGTTTATCTTTAATGTAAAGTTCAATTTATGAACATTTATTGAATAAAGAATTTTAAACTACATTAAGTACTGTACAAAATTGAAACTAATTAAAATTGACCAATAGAATAATATATTGAATGTTTTGTTTGTTTGAAAAATAATAACCAGTCATTTTATGATTGACTATTAAATCACTCTAATTGAATATATTTAATAGTTGAGATTATGAGTTAATTGAAACTAGATCACTATGGAAAATCTGGAAGTATTGGACGGCCGTTTCGTCCTATTGTGGGACTCCTCAACAGTGTGCATCCAAGACACCCACCTTGGACATATCGGTCTCACGTGCAAATGCTTAACCTTTAGACCACTGAGCTGGTTGGTATCGAGTGGTGTTTATGTCTAACTTCAACTAATCCATAAAATTGAGTGACACATTCTGATATTAATTGAATATGATAGCTCTTTTTTATTTATCTGAATATAAAACTACATAAGGATTTCATGAGATATATATGATGGGAATGACAATATGTTTTGAAATTAGTCTGTATCTTCATTAATCTCTCTTTATTTATTTACAAACGTATACTTTCATTATTTCTTTTTGTTTCAAGATTATGTAATGCAATGAAATGATAAAGCAATGATGACGTCTAATGATTCATACAAGGAATTATCATTGCAATCAAATGAACATCATTAATGTAGAACACTCATATAAACAATGAACTTTTAAAACAGTTTTATTGTCAGCATTAAACTAGATATCTCGCAAAAGGTTATGTATATTTCGCTAATTCTCCAATAACTCACAATAGATTAAAGTGCAGCTAGAAAGTAATGAAACTGAGGAGTTACTGAGAATAACATTGTATTTATAACTTACAAAAAAAGAACTAATATAGCAGGTTACACTACCTGTTCTTATTTTCGGTTCCAAGATTGTCTTAATCCGAGGCTTGTGTTATTGCTGTTTATTACTTTCCTGAATAAATATTAGTGCATTGTGTGTTCTTTTTCTTTTGTTCTTCTCCTTTCCAAATTTCATTACTGACGCTACACAGAATGCTCCCTAGTATACAAAGTACCTTCTGACTGGATAAGTACCACTACGTCAAGTCTCAAACTGTTCTCATAGCTTTCTTTTATTTAATCAAAAATAATACTATGAGTTGATTGACTTCTATACTGTTATTTACAGCTATAAAATATGAAGCACAAGAAAAGAAATGAAATTTTCTGTAAATTAGTCCAGTTTCAAATAAATATTTTCACTTTAGACAATGCAAAGTACTGTCAATAATTTTCCGTAAACATAATGAATGGCAGGCGTTTGTTTGCAATATAACATTCCTAAAAATATGTCCAGTGGTTTACTCAACAGTGATATGAAATGTGTACAGTTGAATCTCAGTTAACAAACCGACGAACAAAAATCCTAATAAACGACCACGGTCGGACTGATAATGAACATGAATATTCGGAGAGCTTTTGAAAAATAATCATACTGTCAAGCCGTGTAAACTAAACCACATCTTTAATATCATTCGCTGATAAACTCCAAGTTTTAAGTGATCATATTTGAAAAATTGTTTGAAACTTTGCCCTGAACCATTCAAGGATTACTGCTGGTTCCAAGAGCTAGTAAAGGAGAGGATTTGGGCGAGCAGTTAGCAACTCTATCTGGTAAATTCTTTATATCCACATCGCTTATTAATTATGATTGAAAAATAAACGAGGGACCAATGCATTTCCCACGACGTGAATTAAGAACACTAAAACTGATACAAGGGAAGATTTATCAGCCCCAAAACACGACGGCAACGCCAGTCGAAAATATACTCATTATATATTGATTGTATACTCATTTAGACTACTGATTAGAATAAAGTCATATTTATGAAAAACATCCAGAGATATTGTAATGTCTTTGCTTCGTTAACAAATCACCTTTGTAACCGATATTATATAAATCCCAACGGTGTTTGAAATCAGAAGGCAATAAGAAGCGGCAACTATAGTTTATTAGCTGATAGCATAGGTCACAAAGCTACGAGTACATCGAGCGAATTTGAAGCGGCGAGGTGAACAAATATATGCAAGCAACTACATAGGCAAACATATAATGAAATTGCATAAGGGCGCAGCAAGGCAAAGCAAAGGCTAATAATAAGATTTGAGTACATATATACATGGGGAAGAGGATAAATCATCGAGTGATATTTAAGCAATCAACATTTTAGCTCGAGTCTGTCATATGGTCTACTGATCATAACGGAGCAAAGAAATATGCAAATTGTTACTGATCAAATAACATTGTTTGTTAAGTAAATTAGTAAAAGGGCTTAACCAAAATTAACCATCATCGAAATCGGTTGTAGGATAGCTGTTATAATACAATAAAGAACTTGTTGCATGTCATGTTGAGTACAGTCCACGTTAATAGTATCTTGAATAAACATCATACTCAAATAAATTGATTTTATATCAAATAAAATATCACACTGGGAAGTAAAGCAAATATTACACTAAGTAATCATCAACTTGAATTAAAAACGAGATAAAAATCACTATGAATCAAAAATTAATTTCACGAATTTGTCACATCATATCAAAATGGAGAACTTGTCAAAAAAGAAAAATGTTGAAATTAAGATGAAATGTAATCAGGATGATCGTAGAAATAGAAATAAACCAGTCAGGGTTAGAAGATTTAAAGAAAAGATGGAAAGTGAAGCAGTTGGCTGTAAAGGAATAAAAGAAGAGAAGAGTTCTTCATACTCTTCTACCTTTGATTAAAATAAGAATGTTTCTAGTCATGTTGATTTTGATTCTTATAAAATTCTTATAAAATTTTGCAGTATAATTTCTATTGTTAAATATTTTTAACTAAATAACTATGTATCAGTCAGTTAGTATCAACGTAGAACTTCGTATGTACGTATATCAGTTCGAGTTGCCAAACCACATTAGCACAGAGATGCAGTTGTAGATTCAAATCCCGTATTTGTAAATGTAGTAAGAGTATAAGCAGTAACCGGAAACACTAGGATTTAAAGATGTATGAATATTGATTGAATGTACTCATAAGTACTTGTAAGAGACTTACAATTTGCTAAAAAACGAATTACTATCCAATTCTAACTAAATCATTAGGATGGATAATATAATTTTTCTTTTTGTTTACCCTTGAGTAGAATGAATGGCAATACAATCCATACCATCAAGTATATTTACGCAATGAATAAAATTCTATAATGGAAGCGAAATAGTCGAAAATGCTTATGGATGAATACAAATGGCAACTAATCACTATTTTTTTAAAAAAATCTAAAGATAAAGAGAACTCAGTGAAAAAAAATTTCTTTCCGACGAAATCGTTTACTTAGGCTGTACATTCGTATATATATTTATATGAAAAGTATATGTTTATGAAAGGATAGAAAAGATTCCATCACAAATTGATTCAAGACTCTTATTATCAAGTGAGATTACACGACAATCAAGGGGTAAGAATGAAAATAATTTATGGTTCAGATAATAGTCCAATTGACAGATATGAAGAAAAACGACAAACAAAGATCACAGTAATAAAACCGAATAATAATATCAGAATGGGGTTTTGTGGAGATTTCAGTAATTTCAATAAGCAGTGACCAGTGAAGTTCAAACGGGTCTGTTGTGAGATAGTAACTCACTGATGACAATGGTGGATGTGTCGCTCGATTTCGTGGATTAGTTGAAGTTAGACATTAACACTGTTGGATGCCGGCCAGCTTAGTGGTCTTGAGGTTAAGCGTTCGCGCGCAAAACTGATAGGTTCTGGGTTCGAATCACGCGAGGCGGGGCAGTGGATGCGCGCTGTTGAGAAGTCCCACAATGGGATAAAACGGCCATCCAGTGCTTCCAGGTGTTTCCATGATGGTCTAGCTCCAATTGACTCATGATATCAACTATTGAAATGAATAATAATAATAATCAAGAAAACGTGTATAAGGTAATAATAATGACAATAATGACTGATTAGAGTTTAAAATTACAAAACAATAATTTAAAAAATCAGTGATAATCAAATAAAAAGGAAAAAAAGGAAAAAAACAAGACATACCATTAAAGGGAATTAGGGCCAAAGAGCATGAGAGGTTGGACGAATCGGTTTTGCACTCAAAGTTCGGGGTTGAGTTCATGGAATGATGATGCTTCAGAAGTTCATGAAATATTAATTCGACTTTCTTTTGGTTCAATTCCTTTGACTGTGTAGATTACTTTAAAATAAGACTCTTTTGGGGCGATGTGCCCACAGTTGATTAAATGCTCCTGTATTGAAGTAGTAATTTTCTTACATCCTACTTTTAAAAGCCATGCCGAATAGTGTTCTGAGATGCGTTTGGAAAAGAAATCGCTTTGTGTAGTCAATATAGACTACCCCATATGAACATCTAAATTTAATGATACATATTGATGTGACCCAAAGCGGAAGTTTATCTTTAACGCATTCATGAATAGTAAACCGACTTGAGAAAAAAATTCGGAGCTTAGTTGAGTAGAATGTTTTATTCAACGATTTTCAAATCCGTTTATTTAAGATTTCAGCAATTGTATCTCCTTTAAATTTCATATTCGTAAAAACGATTTTCATTCGTACTGTCGGTGCTTTTCAGGATGATAAATCTAAAGATTTATATACTTTTAAAATATTCAGAAATTAACTATATATTAGATGGGGGAAATTTTTATGATATTTTATATTTTCATTTAGAATTCATTTATTATAATCAAGCATATAGTACTGAATAACTCCGCCTGTACCTCTTCGAGAGTTACTGCCAGTCCCAAGTCCGGGTAAAGGAGGAGGGTTGGGCATGGGGTAGAAAACTAACTCGCTAAAAAAAACACTAACCAGAAAAATAATTCATATAGTACTGAATGAAATGCTTGTTGTTAATCGTATAACCAATGAGCTAACTAACTCCTTCAATTATAACTAATACAATGATTTTATTTTAATTTTTTATTATAGTTATT